TATGCACGTGAAATTTATCGCTCGGGATGAAAGTGATCTCTGCGGGTACTAGAGCAACGCGGTGCTCAGTGCGCTTGGCGCTTGGTACGCAGATGCGCAATGCACAACGCATCAACGCAAAATCCCGTAGTAGACGGGCAGGGACAAGTAAGTGGGAGGCGGGGGTGTGCGGGCACAGGACGCGCGTATGTGTGCGTGTGTGTGAAGGTCAGCCGGCGGCGTCATTTCCTGGTCATTGCCTGCTGCCGCCGCCGCCGCATCCGACGCGGGCCGGCGCCCGCGCTGCGCCTGCGCCGCGGCTCACTCGCGATCTTAGAGACGCACACGCTTTCCGGTCGCACAGGAAAACTAGATGCTATTGTCAGGCGTACTATGGAAGGAAATGAATCTAAAGCTAAAATGCCAGTGCATTTAGCAGACGACACAGTCCCATCACTGCGCTGATTACCTTATCACTTCCGCCTGAAAAATAAAGCGATAAACAATATTTTTCATAATATTACAAATATGTAGCCACGTTTACCGAGCAGTTGCTTTGAGGAAATGTTCTCAGCTCTACTATCTTATCTTTGTAATTCTTTTATCACAAGCAAAAATAGCAAATTTGCAAACTGATAAATCGTCATAGGTGTTTGTGTATGAGCTGATTGACGTCAGCCGAGTGTAGCGCTGTACCAGCGGCTCTCTTACACTTCCTAAACATTATTTCGGGGAGCAGAGTGCTCTGAAAGTACTGAAACTCTTGCGTTTGTACACGCAGAACAGCACAATACTGCTCGCTCCTCCAACCAAGAATAACTTTACATTCAATTTAGAAGGTGTCTATTTGCTCATGCATGTCACATGTGCAATGCACATTAGTTATAAACTTGTTGAAAGTACCCGCTAATGAACAGGCACCTCCCAGTTGCCTTCACGGCTGATGCGTTGCAAAACTCTGAAAATGACAGTCCCAAGTGAGAGCAGCAGGAGCGGGCGCGGCTAGTGTTGCGTGTTTGTATCGCAAGAGGTTTGTGGGGTAACCCATTTATCGCGACCGCGGGATGCGCGAGCGCAACCGGTTCCCTCCTCCTCCCGCCTCACCCTGCATCAACCTAAACGTTCGCACACTCGCATCCGGGAGCAAAACAATCCGTCTTCGTCAGAAACTTAGAGAAAAAGGCACCTAGTACAGTGAGAGTAAGGTGCACTTTATATCGGAGGCTATCTGGATAAATTTTCTTTTCGCTTCGAAGGACTGCTAACTAGCAAAGTGAAGATGACATTCTAAGACTGCAACAGGCGCACAAGTCGACGTAACCTTGATCTTGCAGCGCAACCAGTAGGATGCGTCCAGCCGTCCAGCGCATGCGCTATAAATAGACTCGCCGCCGCATAAAATGCGGGTTTTTTACGTGGCGTCTTGTTAGCTTCCCATGCTCGCGAGGGATTTTTATGAGATACGTGTTCGTGGAACGTTAAATTATAAATAACAGGTAAGTATGTTAGCGCAGCACCCGGCGCCCGCGCAGCCGTGCCGCCCTATCTGTACCGTTGTTAGCGGCCTCTCTACTTGTTGGTAAATCTCACATCACTCGTGATTGATCTACGAGATAGTTTTGATCATCACCATTTTTATCGTGTGCCATCTTAATGAACTGATACAGCTTTCATTGATTAGTTAAATGAAATGTTTATCTAGTTGAAGCGGTCGGCTCCTGGACAAAGACTGGCTGCGGCCGACTTCTTGTTCGAATGTTATTGTCACTTTGATAAATAATCCGCATCATTTAACTTTAATTGAAAGATAAAAGTCACTCGTATCAGGCAAATGTATTTTGATGATTTTCTTTTCACATTGTTTTCCTTATTCATATTCTTACGTCAATCTGTAGAATGTACGCGCCTGTAGTATGGTGAACATTAACGATATATGTAGGTATTTAGTAAGTTGTGCATTTTTATAATTCGATACATAAAATTACACATGCAAACCACACAAAACTATTTTGAATTCAACTTTGTTTATACAATACTGTAGGTGCCCACTGTGCGTATGTTGTAAAACTATTTGTTATTCAGTTGCTCCAATAGGAATACAACAATGTGTAGGCGTTAGCCAACCCAAGACAACATCGCATGCGCACCTGTTTTGTCAACTACGCTGATCTTTAAAAATATAGACCACGGTACTACTCTAGACTAGACAGTTTGGATGACTAAACTTCCTTAATCTCGCGATCAGAAAACTAAATCGGTAGGTATGGCAACCCTGGTAGCGTGACGATGTGTCCGCCACACGTGTCAGTGCGCAGGGTCAATGACCGCACAGATAAGCCGCGCGAAAATACATACCAGTTAGATAATATTAGAAAATGGCGAATCGCTCCAACCCAACACACACAGGCGACGTTTAAAAATAAATACATAAATGTAACAAGTTTTATCTCAGTCGGCAGCTACTTGCTAAGTTCAAGCGAAACTCGAATCCAGTTATAAGATGATTGTTAAAATAATAAATGTGTAATAGATGCGTATTGTAAAGGTTACTATACATTGCTTTACGATTCTTTTCAAATAATATTTTCTCACAGAAGGAAAACCAACATTTCCACCTTTTTATAATTACGTGGTAACGCCCAAAACCGCAAAAAAGTAATGTCAGGATACGACACTTCCTCATAAAAATAAATTAATTGTAAAACCCACTTCCGCCTTGTCTCTGGTGTCATTGAAACGCATTTATTCCCCATAGAAATTTGACAGACACAACAATATTGTGTTACACCAATATGGGACCATGATTGAAAACTAAAATATTGGTATTCGACATTACATTTAGGGTATTCCCCTAAAATTATGACAGTTATATTATATCATACATAATGTATTAGTACATAATTACCGCAATGTAATTAACCGCAAACTATTTTGTGGTTAGTTACTATTACTAATTCGATGATACGAGGCTATTATCCATACTTCTTCCTGTAAGAAGAAACACATACAATATACAAACAACAAGACATTACACTCGTTCACTGTTATAAGAACTACATAAAGAGGGCACTTCGTACCTAAGTATACATTTCATAAAGTTTTCTTAAATTTTCTGGAGCACGTAACTCGACATAATGTACACAACCTTATTACCAGAACAGCAACACACCGCGCTGTAACGACTATAAAATTCACGGAAAACTAGTTGCTAGCTTTTCACTTCCTAAAAACAAGACTAGTGGATTACCCGTCTTTGCTGAAGATATTTTAAAACTTCCATACCTTCAGAATTCAGTCCAACAACAATTACGTCTACAACAATCGAATTGCATTGAAAATCACCCAAATCGAAAGCTTCGTGTGTGTGAGAGAACATAATTACATCATAAATATATTAGATATAAGTACCTGGAACAAGCAGACGTAAAGACAGACTGCGATGTTGTATATTATGTAGTGGTAACTAAATCATTTCCCACGAATTGGGCTAATCGTACAGCCAAACAACTGTTTTATTGAGCTAGCCAGATGAAATTTATTGCCTCGTCCGTCGGCTTCAAGTTTTTAGATCAAACTGAAGCGGTCGACATATATCTACCTAGAACAAAATATACTTATGTACATATTTCCTGTAAAGCTTTGTGATATGCGACGCGGTTATTTAGGAACAACATGCTTACACTAACATCTTGAAACTCTGTAGGCGACGACGGCGTATAACTATCAAGTCGGGACACTCGAGGGACGTAATTACTCTTACGTTTTTTATTAAAGAAGACTGCAGTGATGTTACTTGATAATAAATATTTTGGCAGGCCCTGGCAAGCAATGCGTAACCTCCTATAGGTGTGTAGTGTGCATTGTGGTTCCTCTAAAACAGAAGCTTATTTTTCTGAGGAGGAAAACGTATCGGCGAGTGGGCCGGCCACAGGCATTCGGGTCAAGGCGCTGGTACCGGTGCGTTTGACGCAATCGCGACACTATCAGTGCTATCGTCAAGTAACGCGTTCGCATTGTATGACAGAGCACGCGCTCCGACCTGGAAAACATCACGTTTTAGGAAATGTTCAGCTCTCTTCTGAGAACTGAGCAAGACGTTGTAGCATCGCGTCTGTACCGCGTAGGAATAAACTATGCACGCCATTCTATTTACTTTCTGCCACAACTAGTCTACAACTACAACCATTTGCAGAATTATCTTCATGCAAGCATTACAATATCACCCAGTACCTAAGTCACATAACAATAAAAGCGTACCACAACAGATCTATAAATCATCGTAATGTATAAAAATAATTGAATTTGATAAGTTAATTCACTTGACAGTCGCATCCTATCGAGCCGAGCAATATTATAATTGTTATCACCTGTTGCTACACCATATTGATAGGATATCGTCGTATTAGCTATTGCATTCATTGCTTCACACGATAGATATGTATGTATGTCACTACGATACGGTGTTTTTAATCCAATTAAATAAGTATTCTACGAAATTTACAATAGGACTTGCGAAACAAATAACCATTTCATTAGCAGAGCGTACCTGATTGTGAAATTGTGGTCGATTAGTAGAATCCAAGACTGCAGCTTGTTTACTAAATAACATTGTGCATAGATCAGGTCGGGAACAGGACGTTCTTTCCACACAAACCCTATGTATGAAATTTAAAACAATATAAAATATTGTTATCAAAATACTAGAGTTAGTTTAGACAACAGCGTCCTAATCGCATGAGAGTTGCTCTGTCGTCTAGTCTCACTATTGTTTAGCCACTAACGTTGGAACTAAATGTTGCATAAACATTAAATTCATTAAATATTGACTCGTCTAACACTAATACATTAATTTTTGGTGAGATTATTTTACAATTAGTAACAATGTAATGTAAGGAAGCCTTCGAGGGATCTGCTTTGTACCACGTAGTGTTTAAAGTGAAATTGTCGGTATCGTAATTAGGATGTATGTGTACGCATTTATTGATGGTTCTAGTAATGACTGAACATCGTTTTGTTTTCAGTGGGTGGCGTGAACGAGCGTGACGCGTACGGCTACGGGTACGGTGGCGGGGGCGGCGGCGCGCACCACTTCGCCGCTCCGGCGCCGCCGCCGCTCCCGCACGACGAGCTCCCCTACTCGGTGTTCGACTTCGGCGACTACCAGCGGCATCACCACCACAACAAGCTCAAGCCCAAGAAGAGGCCGCGCACTGACGCGCCTCCCACGCCCGGCGTAAAGCGCAAGAGTCGCGAGGGCTCAACCACGTACCTCTGGGAGTTCCTGCTCAAGCTGCTGCAGGACAGGGAGTACTGCCCGCGCTTCATCAAGTGGACGAACCGCGAAAAGGGCGTGTTCAAGCTGGTGGACTCGAAGGCGGTGTCGAGGCTGTGGGGGCTGCACAAGAATAAGCCTGACATGAATTACGAGACGATGGGCCGCGCGCTGCGCTACTACTACCAGCGCGGCATCCTGGCCAAGGTAGATGGGCAGCGGCTCGTGTACCAGTTCGTGGACGTGCCCAAGGACATCGTCGAGATCGACTGCTCGCTGGCGTAGACGAATCTCGAGTGACACGCGTGACGGGACCGTGGTGACGTGTGACGTGCGACGTGCGATGAGTGACGCGGCGGCGTGCCGCAGTGCCGCAGTGCCGCAGTGCAGGACACTATCCCATGCGTACCGCCGTGACGCGACGGTGGGCGGTGGAGAGGACGCGTATTCATTTCGTTCTTACATTACAAGTTATCACTAATACTTACAATTCGTCTATTTTTCAAATCATCATGCATTACGTTTTTCAGATCGCTTCTATATAATGTTATTAATATAAATATTACTCTCAAATCGAACTAATATTAACTTATCATTGAATTTAATATTTATACAAAAATAGGAGAGACGAAATTGATTGCTCAAATGTTTATATAGGTACCTATTTTTAGGGGTATTTCAGAAGAGGAACACTAAATTTGCTAGATGTTATATGGGGACGGAGTGAGTTTTGTATAATGTTGAAACGAATTTTTAAATGTTTGTAAATGAAATTTCTATATATTGCATGTTTAAGGTCGATTATACATTTCCTCGGTCGACTGTACGAAATCAGAACTTCCTACCTCAGAACTACGCAAAAGTTACAAATGATTCATATGAATATACAATTTACATTGTTCGAAACAGTTTACAAATCGCAATAAGAATATATATATATAGTCTAAATAAGAGTTTATTATAAAGAAATATTTACGTAAATGTTTATATCTTATAGTACCTAATATCCTCAGATGAAATATATTCACTTCTTGGTGCTTTGTATGGCCATCTCATATTTACACATTGTTACAATGGAAGCAACCTCACTGCTGTTGATTTATATATTATGTATATTATATGAACATTTAGTAGTTGTCTATTATCTAGCTGTAATCTGTTTCCCAAGAGCGCGCCCTGAGAGAGCTCGCTAGTGGCTAGTGGCTCACCGCTACACGCTACACGGCCGAGCTCGCTTGGGCCGCGCTCTTACTGTCGCATAGTCTATCTCATTGTTTTAGGTACATTTCGAAACCGAATTTGGAAATGATATTAGATTGCAAAAATTCATTTACACAAACGTTTTAACGTAATACTACGCATGTACTGATAAACCTACTGCCAACTTTCTGATACAAACTGACATAATGATTAGTTAAGGGATGATTTTTGTGCGTTAATTGTGTTAATTATAAATATATGTTTACTGTAAGCGAGATGTTTTAAGTGGACATGTTCTAGTTTATTTCGTTTATTTAAAATTATATTAAGCATGTTGCGAGGGGGTTGCGCGCACTACATCACGACTACAACTACATATCAGACAGAAACAATTATTTACTGTGTATACATATACATCCTGTTTTGTCAGCATATCAAGCCGCTTGTATATATATTGTATTTGTTTAGTTGAACGGCGCGCAGCCTCCATTTTTTGTTACCTGAATAAATATTATTAATAATTAATTACGATTTGTGGTCCAATGTTAAAGAATCATAATACTTTAACTAGATAGATATAAAAGAAAGATCGTTTAAGGTGTAGCCTAGTTCACTTCGACATATAGACAGATATAATTGATATTTCATTCAATGCAAAGACAAATTGATCCTTCTATGTATACAATAAACTTTGTTTATAATAGTAAATGTACGTAAGCGGAGGAATTGTTAGTTGGCGTCGTGTCAATATAATAATTGTGGACCACACGTGCGCTCCAACCGCCACTAGCCGCCCCGCACTCTTGTTTCGTTCCACTCACTGGGACTACGTAGTTTTGCAATATTTTTATAATGAAAGTAATGGATATATGAAGCTAGATGGCAGTGTGCAAGTGTCCGGTCGCCTAGTGTCAAGGAGGGCACGTGTGGTCTCGGACTGTGAGGGTCAGAGGAGCCTTAGGAGTGTGAACGTGTCGGGTACGAAGGGTGCTATGTTGAGGGACCGCGCTCGGGTGAGGCTCGCACTCAATACAATAATATATTAGACCAGTCCAACCGATATACAGGTGTTAAACTATATATTAAATAAACCAGTGCGATAAGTGACTTTTGTATAGGTGAAAGATCTCAGTATCCAAACTTCTTCGAACAAAACCAGTGGCCGTTTCATGTGATTGAAAAATAATATATTTTAAAAACTAAATTGTGGAATTTTAATCGTATTTTTATATAGTTAGATGGAATTCTCAATAATTTTCTGTTCGGCACTACTTCTTATGCTTTTGTAAATATAATTATAGGATTTAATTTATTTATTTAGTCTGTCACGCGAGTGGCGCCCACTGGCGTCGGCGAAGGCATTCAATTCTTTTCCTTTTTAGGAAATTTCGTTCTGTAGGTTACAAATTTTATTGTAAAATATCTTTATTAATAAATTAGTAGGTAATGAATGGACCATGGGATGGAAGGTGAACGCTCTCAGAATTTATAATTCGGCTAGTGTGAGTCTAATCGACAATGTGAGATGCTAGTTACCGGTAGTAGGCAAAATGTTTGAGCAAGCATTTAAAAAAATGCTCGGAGAGTTTAAATAATTTTAGTCGAATTGATGTTGTTGAATTAAAAATCAAAGTTTCTAATTAATAATGTACTTAAATTTTCAATGTAAATTTTAAAGGCACCTTGAAAAAAAAATATTATTAATGAAATTATTTTAAATTGAGCCTAGTCTTAGTATCATAATTTGATTTTAAATTATAATTCAGACGCCGCATTGGTACGAGGCGTCGTCGTAACAGCGGTCTACCTATCGTGGCCGCAAATATTTAGCACGTCAAAATTAATGTAAATACAAAGTATATAATGTTGATAATCCAAACGCACACCCTCACGACCCATGAACGACTAGTTATTGGCGTCGCTAGTTAGGTGAAATATGAGAATATTTTGCAAGGAAGCAATGAGAAGGTTAGTGAATTCGGTGATAGAGGGAGAGGGCGCTGCGCTCGCTCGTCGGCGGCAGACAGCATAATTACGTGTTTTATCGTTAATTACTATTTCAATGTACGTATTCCTGTTTGTCGATAAATTAATGTCCAATATTCGAATACGTAATTCATTCCGGATGAGAGTGGTGTGTTACATTTGTGTAGACAACGAGTTTTAGGTGAATGATGAACTTTAGTTTCAGCTACTCGCTCATAGATGGCGCTTACGTAACGCTTTTGTCTTTAACAAAATTTCATGACTATTCTGAGAGTTGCGTGCGATTACAGTGATTTTGCGTTATACTTGCTTTTAGTTTTATGCAGTTAAAGTCCGATATTGTAATGTAATTTTATTTAGTTGTTAATTTTACAAAATACTGTATTTTCTGCCCCCCTAGTTAAGTTATTTTTCTATGTATAGTTAGTTATAAGTGTAAATGAATTAGCACATAAATTTGATGCATGATGATAATGTTAATAAAATATCCACAATAAAATCCAAACTTGTTTGTTATTACGAATCCCTGGAAATGAAATCCCGAAACTCTGCAGATCGGCTGGCGAACTACTAGGTACCTACCTAATCCTCCTAATTAATCGTGTAGGTACTTTGGTATAAAAAACAATAATTGAAACTGGTACAATATTAGTAAGGATAAAAATGTGTTTCCTGGATAAGGGCTCGTACTCAAAACTGCGATGCGATGCGAATTCGCAACGCAGAAAATTACGACACGAATTGCTGCCATGCGATTTCGTGCGACAAGGCGGAGCATTCCTAAACGACCGTCAACCGTACTAAACGTATTTTAAATTGAATTCTAGTTCGTGACATGGATCGTATCTAGAAGTGTGCAGTTTATTATTACTTAGGAGATACAAGAAAAAGAAACAAAGAAGATAAGATCTTGCGCGCGATGCGAATCAATCAATTCCCAAGTTCTTGCGATGCGACGTCGTATCGCAGTTTTGTGTACGAGTCCTAAGGTAGAGTTGAATAGAAATCTAATATTTAACGGAAGATAAAAAATACACACATTACACTACCTAGCTCTTTCCAAAAATAGGTAACTGAGTATATTTATTTAATTCTGAACTCTTCATCTTTTCAAATAAATTACCGAATACTTTCGGGCAGCACCCAGACGATCGTACTGCCACAGTCTGTCCGCACATGGTATCATTGCAGAGCGTGCTTCTCAAAACATTACTGCGACGCTGCAGAAGCGTGGTCCATGCCTGTAGTTGCAGTCCGATTCATCAGTTTAGATCAAGTTCTGACGACATCCTTTTAGTTTTAATACGAATTATATACCTAGTGTCTTTTTTGCTGCTAGTAGCAAAAGACAGAGAGAAATGGAAATCTTTAGAGGAGGCCTATGTCGAAAAACAAACTGTTTTTGAACCGAACGCCGATATATGTACAAAGATATAAGTAAGACATAACATTTACAAAATATATGTAGTAATTAATTGATATTAATGTTTGTAAGTTTAAATAGCAATAAAGGGTAATTTTATTTTATTTTACATACCTAGTGTTACAATTTCGCACAATAATACAAATGCTGCATCACACACATTTAACATATATATTTATCTCATATATAAATATAAGGTCCGGTCCGGTTAGGTCCGGGGTGAGACAGGGCAATAATTTGGATCCTTTACTGTTTAATGATGAATGATGACTTACCAAGCATAATAAAAGGGTCGATATGCCTACTTTTTGCCGATGACTTAAAAGTTATACACGGAATAAGGGATGACGAGGACCATGTTAGTTTGCAACACGATATTGACAGAGCTATTGAGTGGAGCCGGGAATTCAAGTTGTATTTCAACGTGGCCAAATGCTCAGTTCTGTCATTCACTCGTGCAAGCAGTCCCCGTCACCACCGATACTGCATGGAACGTGAACTGTTGCAACGCGTTACAGAGGTAAAAGATTTAGGAGTCCATTTTGTATCAGAGTCACACTTCAGGAAACACATTATGGATGTCTGCAAGAAGGCATACCGCAATCTCGGTTTTATTTTACGTCAGGCAAACGAGTTCAATAACAACGCAGCTATAAGGGCGCTCTACGAAGCTTTAGTTAAAAATCACTTGGAGGGTTTTTTTTAAGGGGGGAAAATCATCGAGTGACTGCTCCCGCCTGGGTGAGGCGGAAGGGAGTGTCAGACTCTTACTGACTAAAAACCACCCCGTTCCTTCTCCTGCACGTCGAGCCGGAGCCCCGGTTACCCGTTAGGTTCTCCGCGACTCCGAATCGGCATCGGCCCTATTGCGCCCCATCTGTGGTGGTCTGATGGCTCTTTGAGGCGCGCGCATCACTTGGATGGTAACGCTGGTATTTGGAGTCCACATGAGGACAAATATAAGTTCATGATAGAACGTATCCAAAATAAGTTTGCCAGATTCGTGTATATAAAATCGTACGGTATATACCCTAGATACCCAATACCATATCCAACGTTGTTTGTACTGGGTATGGTAGGACACTACAAACTGGAGGTGAGGCGTGAAGTAGCTCTAGCTACTTATTCATTTAAGGTATTGCGAGGTATAACGCACCACCCGGCCCTACTGGAGGAAATTACGGCTGTGTGTTCCGGACGAGTACGTGCGGCATAAACGGCGGCCGCGGCTGCTGGTGGTACCGTGCGCACGCACGAACCTCTTGCAGAAGGCACCAATAACACGAGCGTTGCGCATATTAAATGCAACAGTTCAGATATATTCGCGTGTACACTCAACGAGTTCACAAAGGCAGCATATGAGGCTGTTGTTAATAATAAATTATTGTCAGTATGCATATGTGAGCACCATGTTGGACTTCAAGATTTTATTTTATTTTTTAATTTTAGTAAGTTATTAGTATAATTCGTCAAGCATGTCTTTGCATTGTTCTTACATATGCGTACAGTATTGAAATATGTATCAGAGACATTGTAGAACATACTTTTTTTAAAAGAGTAACGAATGGAGTTTCTTGCTCGTTCTTTTCCATTCGAATCTACTTTTTGGAATGAGCACCTAGCTTCACCTAGTTTCACTGACGGACTGACTGACAGACTATTATTTATTTTGTATTTGTTGACGTTTCAAAAGTACCAAACTATGGTTTAATTGAAATAAATGCTTTGACTTTGACTTTGACTTTGAACTAAGTTGGATTTCTACTTTATTTGATTATATTTATATAATTTATTTCGATAGTACCTACACAAATTTTAAAAATATATTTGTTGTTATTAAAGTTATTTACGTGTATTAGAGATAGTTTTGTCTAAATGTATTAGCCTGTAAGTTTAATTAATGTTCTATGTGCTTAATATGTTCTTGTTTTTTGTTTTTCTTTGTATAAGTTATTTTACGGTTGTTAAGGAATTATGTGTAGGTAATAGTTAATATTGATGAAGATTATAGTACTTTTTAAGTTTACTTGTAATGTGTAACTGCATTTATTGTATTAGGTGTGCCTGTGATGATAAATGTAATGTTTAAATATAAATAAATATAAAAAAAATATAATATGATGTTAAGATGATCACATTTATCGCATTTTCGCATTTGGCATTAACCTGTAAAGATAAATGTAAGTGGAATAAATAAATAAATAATTTTACCCATTCGTAGTGAAAGTAATATCGTAATTCCTAGTCTTTTCTTTTACTACACTAGTACCATCTACTGAGCACAAAGACATAACTCTCCAGGTCCAAGGTCCAAGTAGTCGAGCAATCTCAAAATCCTTGTATTCAAATCTACAAAATTAAAAGTATATTTGTCTGACGTGTTGCTGTCATGTCAGTTGCTTTGACGTGTATTGCTCAGCTGTCATTTAATAGATTTTGTTTTCCAATTTCCCGATAATGAGAAGGAAAAAGTAATCATTGTTATGTGAAAATCTTACTATAACTTACATTTGTTTATATGTTAACGTGAAAGACAGTTAAAATAGCGAAAATGGTTCTTATGACAATGATCGCAAGGGTCGTAGACGGCCTCCCTCTGGCCGCTACAATGCAAGAAGATGAACAGGTAACCAGTTATTTACTGTATAATCAACTTATTATTATTCACGTGTACTGTTAAACACATCTTTCTATCTATCTACAAATTTAAATTTGTAATTTATAGCTTTATTGTGTAGTTTGTCTCCTCACCACTGTATTGATCCACGACATATTTTTATTTAATTTGTCCACCTTATTATTTTTTATTTTATAATTTAATTTGCTATCGTGGTTCGCAGAGCGGCTGCAATGTACTGGAGTATCAAAATCAGGCTAAAATGCTGTTTAGAAAACTAGGCCCACAATCGCCGACACGTTGCTCCATCGAAACTGGGCCCTATCTCTTCCAGTGAGTCCTATCGCTTTTTATTTTTCAGTTGTTCCCTCAATTTATCGCTTATGTTGTCACCACTTATAGAACTTTCATGCTGATGAAATCAATAATTTCATTAGTGCAATCTTTTTATTTTGTTGCATTATACACAAAATGTTAATATTTATAATTTCTAGGCTACAGTGTGGAACTTGTACCAGCAACAACCAAGAATAAAATGCTAACTTACTGTGTTAAAACTTTCAGTTATCTTATTGAACACGAGATCTGCTACTTAGTGTTGTGTGAGCGGAACTACAGTAAAAGACTAGCATTCAGTTATCTCGAGGAGATAGCACAAGAGTTCTACCAACAATACGGCAAGAGGGTATGTATAAATAATATCATAATAATTTATGGAACTCTAAAAGTAGTCATATCATCCTATATATCTCATATGGATAAATTGTGTCAGTTATGCAAACAGTAACTTTAATTAACCTGTGTCAAGCAGACCGTACATCTTATAAAAATGGGGATTTAAAGTTTTCACTTATTGCCATTTCGTTTTATTATTGACACAAATTAGCTACACATTACAATGTTGTTCTTTGTGCTTCACTGACTGATAACAATACACATTTAATATTTCAACTTAATAATGTACTAGTTACTTCCTGTGAGGCTAAACAATTTTAATACTTAACTGTAAACTACCATGCTCTGTTAACAACTTACAAAAACTGAGAGCAGTGAACCATAGTAATGTTGTTGTAAAATAATAATTACTAAAGCTAGTGACTTTGCAAAGAATGTTTTATGTATTTTATTTTCTTTATACATGCAGAACTATCATGATTACTGTCTTATTTTAATACTACAATGTTACAGGTGAACACAGTCACTCGACCCTACACATTCATAGAGTTCGACACCTGGATGCAGCGCGCACGGCGGCAGTACGCGGAGGGTGGCGCACGCGCACGACGCGCGGGCGCCGCCGCCCAGCTCGGCGGCCAGCTTGGGGACGTGCAGCGCATCATGATGCAAAATATCGACGATGTGCTGCAGAGGGGAGCTATATTATCAGGTAACACCATTAACAGTTCTAAGTAGTAAGTTGAAAACATGTTAAGAAAGTGGAAATTCAGCTATGGAAGAAACCAATTCATGACTCACTATGACGTGGATAAAAATTAGAGTACCTACTTATATTTTTTTTTTTATTGTTATCAGTTACTTACTACTAGTTACTACACTAACATCAGCAATGAGAATGACTAATAAATAAATACATGATACATATACATTTATGCAAATGTTTGATAGATAGCAAAAAACTAGATTTCACTTTGTAATGATATTGTTTCAGAACTGGATACCAAGACTCAGAACTTGTCAATGATGTCTTCAAAGTACAAGAAGGATGCGACATACCTAAACACTAAGTCCATGCTTGTCAAGGTGACGGCGGGCGCAGTTATACTGCTTGTGTTCGTGCTATATTTCTGGGTGCTTTAGATTGGTCATTTATTCCTATTACTGTGGTACTACTGTTGTGTACTGCGATATGGGCTACTTTGCATTACCATCAGATAAAATGCGTAGAATTATTGTTTAATATTTTTATCTGTATCACCAACTAAATTATTTAATGTAATGAGAAACTCATTCATTACCCTTTTGACCGCCAATCATGTATAGACGACACGCCAAAGTGTCCACCAGGGCACAGTCGCGACTACACGAGACTTCGTAAATAAAGCTTTTTTATATCTTTTGCTAATTATTAACTTCGCTCATTCTTATTATTTTATACCTAATAGAATGGCATTTGGCCACCTATCCACATGGACCTTAATTCTTTACATTTCGTCTACACGTACCTATTTACGCATTATAACAAAATTTTATACTGATTCGAAAAAACTATTTGGATAAATTCTTAGCTTGGCACTGAGGGCTTGTCTTTGCTATAGTCATGTGATGGTCAAAAGGTTACTATGCCAAAAAAGACGATTTAGAACTAGAATCATTATAACTATGGTACTGCAAAGTTCCACAGAAGTTCACTTACAGTGTGACAGCTATGCTGTTATAGTTGAATTGCCTTTTGAAACTATAATAGTACACATTTGGGATATTAAATAAATTATATGTCAGCAAGATTTAATATTTTCTATGTGATTACTCTAAATAGTTTTGTAACTAGACATAGCAAGGTATTGTAGAAATAAGAGCCCTTAGCCTTACCTTACTGCAATAACATTTGTATTTGATTCTATTTCTTATTTACATCATAATAATTACTCTTACAGAGATATTTGGTTTATAGAGACGGTGACATGCTCAACATATATTTACATGATGCTGCTTAATTATTTTGAAAGTTATACAACAGATACTACACGAAATAAGCATTCCAGCAAACCACAATACATTGAATATTTATCTGGTACATAGTATTGTTACAATGTGTTTGGTATACCATGATAAAATGCTTGAAAGTAATCTTGTCTATGCCAATCATTATTTTTAATGTAATGAGCACATGAGAGTGCTTGGTGATGGAATGTTGTAAATTTTATCACATATTGTTATTTAATGTATTTATTTAAGATTTAATAAATATGCATTCTTTTAACTGCCTCTTTTCATTCACCCGACATGATTCAGCTGTAGTATTTCAAGTGGGATCCTGTTGCTCTTCATGTACAGGAGCACTCTTAGCTAAATACATGCTGGTGATACTACCTAAGACATTCTTCATTCTTATAGCAGTAGGCACAGTGATTACCTGAAAAAATATATTACCCAAAAATAATTATTGCATTTCATACATGTAAAAAGTTTAATTTTAAGGCAAGCATAATTTGAAATGATTCGTCTCAACAAAGGTTGGCAAAATACCTGCAATATTTTTGCAAATATAACAGGTCTGTTCTTCCACTGCAGTGTGCCAAATACTTGCACCGGGTATGGAATCACTGTTGACTGTGGTGAAGACTTCAGGTACACCACGGACACCTGCACCAGAGGCTCTGACTGACCCTCTGTCTCATTCAGCTAGAAAATTAAAACATTCATTTAAAATGTTTTAATATAACAAATAATAACAGATACTGTTAACTTACGTCAGTCAAATAAAAACGTCCATTGATACTTTCTAAAATTCCTATTGTCCTACACTTTATAACTTGATCGCCGAATACATGACATTTCCCTGCTACGTCCTTGAGGTCTATATAAATATAAAAGTCATGCTGAAATAAAATGATAATTCCATTATAGACTGCTTTAGAGGTACCTACTTTATTTAATTATAGAAAGTTTAACAACTTACACACGGTGCATTCACACAAAAAGGCATATTCCGATAGGAAATGTTCTTCTCAGAGGCCATCTCTAGTGTTTTTCATTCACTTTTAAATTAAAATTTCATTTTCAAATCAAAGTTTGAGTTTTATTCCATTTCATCAGCAATTTTTACATTTCAGGTGTACTTCGTGGTTCACGCTTTCCCGCTGCACTTATGTCAAATGTCAATCTGATAAAGTGATTTTGCACTTCATATGTCAAACTGTGTCAAACGTTCTGTCAGTGTATACAGAGTGACATGTAACTCGACGTATCCCTCTCGGGAGGTGATAAATATAATACAATTATTTTCCTATAAAGTTAGTCCCAAGTGTATTGGAAACGAATTAATACTAAAATCAAACGATCAATAGTTCGATCGGGATTTTTTCACCAAAACCGAAAACGTTGAATATCTCAGAAACTAGCCACTTTCAGACCAAAGACCTCGGGACTAATTTTGTAGGAAATTAATTGTATTACCACCTCCCGAAAGGAATACGTCGAGTTACAAGTCACCCTGTTTATGAGGAAAGAGGAAGAGTAAAACCAGAGTGGAACACTCCTCTTCCTAAAACCCATTTCCTTCTTCTAATTTTCAATAAGCACACCACATAAATATACATAATATACTTTTATAATATAGTATACATATGCTGAGCAGCCTGGCTGATTCTTCCGCATGCACCCGGAGATGAACTTGGACAAAAAAATAATGTTCAATGAACATGTCATTCCGAAAACAATAGGGAAGATGCAAATACGATAATTATGTTTTATGATTAAAATGGTAAAAAAATATAAAAGGGCTACTTCAACGTTTTTATTTTATATTACGTCACTTTTGCCACGTCAACTTTTTTGAGGTATACTTTGCGTGTAAAATTATTTACGTTTGTAATATAAATCGAAGTTGGGTTTATCAAAGCAGACTCCAGGAATTTACCAAGAGTTAGTATCATGGTAGTAACTTTTTTGTTGAGAGTCCAGAGTTTTCTAGTGTAGAAATGAAAGGAACTAAATTACCTACTACGGTGTGCATGAATCATCATTTTATTCATGTACTAGCTTCTGCCGCGCTCTTTTAAACGATTGGGGGCAAGTTTACAAATAAAATATATGCACGATTATTAAATAGACCGCATATACATTTTTAGCTTTCTACCTTTTAAATTACGAAATGCTCCACACAAACTTCGACTGCACGGTTGGTGCGGTGGCTGGGCAACCGGATGCCGTGCAACGTGTCGCGGGTTCGATTCCCGCACGGAACAACACTTTGTGTGATCCATAAATTGTTGTTTCGGGTCTGGGTGTGATGTGTATGTGAAATTGTATGTTTCTAAACGCACCCACGACACGTGAGGCAATGTTTATTTATTAAAAAAACTTCCACCTCCCCATTTTGGTAAAATGGGTGGTTAAAAAGAAATAAAAACTTTTTACGTTACTTTTTCATCTATCCATTCTTTCAACGATCTCCACTTTAAAAAACCACATCAATTCCTTGCTTCGTTTGGCCGTAAAAGATGGACCAACAAAACATTCACTCTTAGTTTTAATATTATTTTATAGATTTATATGTCATCTGATCTGACGTGTTTGACAAGTGAGTTTACGAAGAAAAAAATTTTTATTGACATTACCTAATTTTCATTAAGTTATCCAAAGAGGATTCTTAATAAATCTGTAATCAGAGCGGGAACAAATGTTAGGAGGATTTCTTGACAACTAACTGACATATTTGGAATCTCTATTATTGATGAATACTAATATTAGTCCTTGAGAACCCACAGTATTTCATTCGTCTGAAGGCTGGATTTATAAGGAAGTTTCCCGATCTCCTTTGTAATGAGAATGACAGACAACGAACGCAAGAACGACCAGTGATAGACATACATGACGTCAACGGAACAATAGGTCCGTTTTGGCGCGAAAACTAAACAGTTCGTCTAAAACCGCGTTTTTTACGATAAACGAAATAGTTTTACTTTTTTAATATGTTTATGAGATAATTTATATGAAATTCTTTAAAATAAAAACAAAACTAAAAATATTGTATGTTTCCTAATGTCGCCTCTCGAGGTTGTTCAGGAATACATCTACCTGAGACACACAGATATTGCAAAGCCTAAAGACAGAAGTCCTCAACGAGTGCGGCCATCCAGTAATGACATACGGAGCCGAAACGTGGACACTAATAGTGCGACTGGTTCACCAATTTAAGGTCGCGCAGCTATGGAGAGGGCTACGCTTTGAGTTCCCTTTGAAGGATCGAATTCGAAAGTTCGAAACGAAGCGATCTGACAGAGAACCAAAATTACCAATCGACATTACATAATATAATCTATGCCTATGCGATATTCTATCTGTCGCTGTCACTAACTGTCAAATGTCAATGCTTGCTTCCAATGTTTTGTATTTGCCAAATTTCTTGTGTGAGGACTGTGAAGTGTGAGGTTTTATCAGTGCAACATTGATCAACATTCCAACTCTAATTTTGTAAAAAAGAAATTGTACTAAAACATGTCTTCTCTTATTGAATTACGTCCTAACCGACGACTTTTGGATCATGATTTTGAAGGTTACAAGCTAAATTTACAAGCTTTACCACATTTTTCTCATGAACTGCTTATGCCGGTCGACAAAGTGTATCCAGATGAAGTTCAGTACTCGTTTGTCCACGCTAAACTATTCGCACTACATAATCATTTAGTTTTAGATTATTGGGACTACGTACTGAATTACTATTACATTGACAAACAACAAAAAATACGTCGTGTTTGTTTCGACAACACAAATCAATCGTTCCATAACCAAGTTGTTTACGACGTGCCCGCACATGTTGAGAGGACGTCTGGCCACTTCAACCTCTGTTTGTCTTTCCCATCAGATAGTGTAGCCGTAGTCAGTGACGGGACAGGATATTTGCACATAGTTGATACAGGCGCAAGAAATCGCCCCTGTGGTAGAAACCAAACATGGCAAACAGCTCAGTCAAGTCTGATTCTTGGTGAAGGCAAATATTTCATTATAATGGACTCCAGAATGCAAGAAAAAGACAATGTAGAGACGTTACACTGCCTTCTCCAATCGGTTGAGCAGAATGAGTCACACTTTGACTCTGTACTTACATGGGTCACTTTTGACAAAGATGACGAAGAGTGGAAGCAGATGAGTTTCAGACAAGTACAAGGCAAAGGCATTGTGCACTATGCTGCCATAGAAACAAGTTGTACTGCACTGTACATTGCTTCTGACAACATATTCAAGTTCACCTACGATTCTGAGAAGGAAATTGTTGCACCATCCACAGAGTCACCTCGGACTGTCATCTACACATGGCTCCAGACAACAGAAGACATCACAATTACTTTAAAACTTGAGTCCAACTTTAACAAAACACTTCTGATTGTAAGTGTTACACCATTGCACATAAAGCTGAGCTACGCTGGCAAGACTTTTGTTGATGGAAAACTGAAGCACAAAGTGGACAGTGAACTAACAACATGGAACATTCAAGACAATGGCCAGGTTGATGTTCTCCTGACTAAATCTGAGAGCATGATGTGGGAAGACCTGGTTGAGGGTGGAGACCCCAATGGGGAGCAAATTATGGATGCCAGCTTAGTAGAGGAGGCACACAGACGGCTGGCTCATCTGTGTGCTGAAACTGAAGTAATGGCTGACTCTGCTGTACCTGGATTGTCTACACAGGAGTTAGAAGAATGTGATGCAGCATCTGAGGAGGATACAGTTATGGGTAAAGTTCTAATACAATGTGTACTTAATTCAAAGATATAATAAATATTACTTTTTTATTTGATGTCTATTTTTCAACAAATCTCTTTCTGTTATTGCAGTGAGACTGGATGCAACAACTCACAGTGTGACACACAGAGCACCACTCAGTGTCCATCAATACTTATTTAGCATCAAAATTGAAACGCAAGAAGTGCCAGCCCTGGCTCTAAGACATGATGTGGATGCTTGCATCTGGCAACCCTATGCACAACTAGTAAACACCAGCACATGGCCAGTGAAGCACCAGGGCTCTCTCAGTGCATTTGGCTATGTGCAATCATCAAAACAAAACAGGAAGTTTGTGACATGCCCTCCTAACTTCTCGTACAGTGTTGTATGTGAAGCTACCAGGCACATATTCATATATCAAACCAACAGTAGCCAAGACTGTCAACTCAGGAAGAGGACCGGAGGCACCATGAGGACCATAAAAATTGGCCAACAACATGTATTTAATATTGATAAATATGGAGAAGTACTAGGAATCAGTGCCACCAATGAGTATTTATTTATATTAACAGATACCCATTTAGTAGCTATACAAATACAGTAAAAGGAATATCAAAAAAATTCAACTTTGTTGTATACTTCATGTCTTAGTTATAATCCTAACACATAATATTCTATGAAGAATTAATAAAAATATTTTTAAACAACAGTAACATAAAGCCCACTATGCATACACAAATAATATGATAATATCACAGACTTGCACATGACAGTCATAATCAGTAATTGTTCTGTCTAGTCTACACATGTTTCTGTGCAAATTCTTATGTAGTTTATCAGTTGCCTTGAGTTCTGTAACTACTGGGCTTCCGCTTCATTTTCACTATTATCCTCTATACTCTCCTCTGAAGAGTATCCTGTGGTGAACAGGAGATTCTTTGGTTTCTTCTTTTTTGCTGCTTTTATCTCGTTCTCAATCTCCATCTTCTTCTCCTGGGCTACTTTCTCTGTGAGTAGCTGTCTAGGTCTCTTCCTGGAATGTTCTGTAGTTCCATTTGTGGTGCCTTCAGTTTTGATTGCAGTATCTGGTTTCCCATTGATTAATGATGTACTGTTATCTTTATTATTGGTACTTACTTTTTCAGTATTAGTGCCAGATTTTTCTTCGAATTCATCTTCTGTAAAACAATAATCCATTAACAATGAAATCAGTCAATTCAGGAATACCATTAAAAAGTATCTATCCAATCTTGCAATATCTAAGAATGTTTAACCTGTCGAGCGTCCGTGTTCCTTATGATCCAACGGGTGCACATGTGACATTTGGAGAAAGAAAGAAAGAAAATGCATTTATTTGGCCATTGGCACACGAAAACAAGGATCATTACAATAGAAATAAAAAATACAGTCAAAATAAAAACAAAACATTATAGACATGACATGATTACCGTCATTATAGACATAATTAAAGAACTTGAAATAGGTTGCGGTCTCCGGTGTGCTCGTGGTGTTTGACAGTTTAATATTAGATTTTATAAAAGAGAGAAAGGCATGGACCATTTTTTCTTATGATCCACCGGGTGCTCATAAGGACGCTCGAGGGGTTAAGTAAACTTGTAAGTAATTCAAATTTGCCTAACTGAAAAGAATAGAATTGGAATGTATCCAAATAAAACTTAATTAGTGTATTTTGGACATTGACAATACAGTGAGACTGATATGACTGTATAACTGAACAAGTAATTTAGTACAAACCTGATGTTATAATCTCAAAGTTGTATGCATGGTCTTTGAGTACAACAAATACAATTGGGAACTCCACTATGCACTTCCCAGACAGGTTTTCAGCCAAAGATTCTGTTGGATCTAGTTCAAAAAACTTCTTTCCAGAGCCTTTTACTTTCTCAGCTGTAAAATAAATATAAAATTATATACCTTCAATATAAGTTTAACTATGATTATTTTTATATAATTTACATACCTCTCAGTAATATTTTAACCCCACTAAAGCCCACTGATTTATAGTAAGACAATGCCTTTGATCCCTCAAAAGGCAAGGCATCAGGGTTCAGATACTTGTCCAGCAGTTCTGACAGCCTCTTGTGTTCTCCACACCTCTCATCAACAAACTTCAGAGGCTCTGACTCCACATTAGGAAACACCCACTCCACTCTCCAATTGATAATATTCATTTTCTTGTTATACCTGGTGGTATTAACTTTGTGCCTCGAGAAGTTCTGTGCTAAGAATTGTAAAGCTGTACCCCTCTGCCTGGCTGCCATTTTGAGCTTAAATAAATACTGTTGAAGGAAAAATGAATTATAAAGTTTAGCTTACTATATTATTATAGCAATGGTAATTTAAATTATTGTAAAAAAAATACACTTACAATAGGTAATTCCTTGTCAACCCTAGTGTATTTCTTCTTCTCATCTACTTTAACACCATATACAAAACGGGCGCACTCTTCCAGTAGTCTGTAATCACTCAGCAGGTCCGTGTCCGAGAAGTCTTTTATCCTGATAAACTTCGTGCGGTCTCTGATGCCATCACATTCCAGCTCCTTTTTATGTATTCTTACACACTGAAGGCAACAAGTCTTTACCTCGCACTTAGGGCAGGTGTATTTGGCTCTGTTTTGACCGCATACTTCGCATTCACCAAGTCTACGAACGAAATTGAAATAGGTTAGAAGTATTAAAATACACTAGAGTATGTTTTCAGAAAACTAAACTTAATAATTTTCCGTTATTTTCATACCTGTTTACTTCGATCTCACGCTCAGAATCACTATCTGATGATGAAGACATAATTATTTATGTTAAAATTCAATATTTTCATATAACACCACTATTTATTGTAAACAACCAAATTGTCAAAGTCAAGCGAGAAGCAAAATTTCACGTTCACGTGTGGAGGAAACGTTAGTTTGCTACACAGAATAAAAAAGGTGTCGTTTGATCCATAGATTATACAACGAAATAAAAATTAACTAAAGACAATGTTTTTAAGACTTATAAATCTTTTAATGATATATTTTGTATAGTACATTGAATAATATTTTTTATCTGTAAGACAAACTTGTTTTTTTTTTATTTACCGATGCTAAAAACATTGCTTTTATCTACATGCAAGGAAACGTCATTAATAACAAATGTCATTAAAATTTGAAAACATTGTGTCTGCATTCGTTTTGTTTGGACTTTTCCATTTTCATCAAAAAAATAAAGATCTTTGAATAAACATATAAATAATGGGCACAGTGGAATTACAAGGTGATGACTGGGACCTACCTTGTTCAGACGATGAGGTATCTAAAACCGGTATGTTTATTGGCAAAAATTGGATTCCGGAACCAGCTGAACTAGAGGAGCTATACAAAGCTCTGGATAAAACTGGAACATTGCCGTTAGAGTGGAAATGTCCTGGTCGGAGACCACCTTCACCGGTACCTGTTAGTAAAGAAAACCAACCAGAAATTCCAGCATCGCCGGTAAGAGAAGAAAAATCTGATTTCGATTTTATGGATGAAGTGAGTTCGTTGCGATTACGAGTACGTAGTAAAGGAGAGGACACTTTGAGAGGTTCAGCAAAGAAGAAGACGACATCATTTGATGGCATCCTGTCTAATATGATAAGGCATAAGAGGATTGAACAGATGGAGAAGCAAGCCAACACTTCCCCATCAACACCATCATCCAGTGGCAGTTGATTAGAGGATGCCAGTGACACTAGTGACTAAAGTGGAGCCCAGTAACTGAAAGTGGAAGTGACCTTTAACTCGTCGAGTACTGTATTTATAGACACAATTAAAGAACAATAGGTTGCGGTCACCGGTGACCGCTTGGTGTTTGACAGTTTGATATAAATACAATACAGCATCTTGCAGTGTAATCATTATTGCTGAACACAAACTAATTTTAGTGCATTTCTAACACTTAATAATTAGAATTTATTATGATATCTGTCAACTACAACAACCATGTTTAGAAGATTTTAAATGTAAATAGGTATATATTCTATATTTAACCTGTTGTTTGTATAAACATATGTAAATCTACACAAAACTCACATGTGTTTGCTGTTGTCTCATACAGCAGCAGTCGAAGAGGTTAAGGGATTATAATTACTAGGATGCATTATCAAATTAAAACAATAAAATGATTGTAAACTGATTGATTGATTAGTTTATTATTTACAAACTACTTATTATCTATGCTGTTAATAAAGCAGACTCTGGTTTAATTAGTTGTTCATTTTCATCTAATAGTTCTTGGCATGTGTTTATATTGTCAGCTATGTGTTCTAATGTCCAGTGTTTTCGTAATAAAGCCAGGTTCACATCAAATTTGGCTTGTCTTATGCACTGGACCCCTGTGCAGTAGGCTGTAGTCTTTAGCTGCACCCCCAGGTCATGGACTAGTGTCCATAAATATTTGTCATACTCATTGACTGATTGAATTTCTGAAACAAAACGTAACCATAAAATAACATTGAGATATTAAAATAGTCAACATTGAAGTTTTTATTTTCACGTAATATTCATGTTTTATTTAGGCCTATAAATAAAAAGAATTAGTGATTTACACACAGTATTTCATGCCTATTTTACTATCCACTCACCTAATGTAAAGTTGGGAGGATCAAAGTAGACACACTTGATACCATAGAGAACTGGTAGTTTATTGTCTGCAGGCCTGATCAGACCTTTAGATGCCAACTCATATGTGGACTGTAAATCCATCTGGAGCCCTGATTGCCTGCAATAATGCAATAGATAATTGTTACAGCATTGTTTTAATACTCCAGAGATATTTTTATTAATCAGAATATCTTACTCAAACATGGTCTTCTGGTGGGCAGCCTGCATGTTAGCTACCACCTTATCAATCTTCTCTCTGGTGACATGTCTAAATGTCGCCCTCTCTACTGTCTTGCCATTCCAGAAGTATGTGTCTGTAGCTTTGCCAAGCTGACCGTGGACCTTGTAAGCTCTTGTTGGTTGCCCAGACTTAATTTTGTATGCAAGCCTTGTTCCTTCATTGATTCCTATTACTGAAAGATGTATGTATAATTTTATTTTGTTTATAAATTAAATTCAAAACCATATCGTAAGCCGTAAACCGTAGAAATAACCTTACATAATACACCACTGCTAAATAAACCAAGATGTGATGCCCAAGTGCACCTGAAATCTTCATTAATATATCTCGGGCCACAGACCAGAGGATTATCTGCATAATTTGTTACTAATTTCACCTTCATTGGTTCATTTGTTGGTCCTAGGATTTCTACTCTCTGTTCTAATGGTCTGTCCGGCAAGGCATTCAAATCTGTGAAACAAATTATACATCAAGAAATTTATAAAAAATACCCCTTAAACTAATGATTCATTTCATTTTTTATTATAAATGTAAATTATGACTTGTTCAAAAGTATGTAAATATAACCTCTGCACAAATTGGTTTTCACTGTATGGAGCACTTGTTTCACAGGTACACATGGTGGCTTGTACACACATATAAGTCCATTTAGGGCTTTATAAGCAGAGGCTGCAGTTTTAAACTTCACCATGGTAATGTTTGTTTACATTTGAATTTCTATAACACAACAATGAGAATGAAACACGGTGAGTGATCTGTCTGTTTGACAATATGACAGTAAAAATAATTGTCACATTGTTGTTATTTGTCAACAACAAAATTGGTTCGTTCGGATTATTTTAACGTTCAAAATAAAATTTTATTTCAAATTCGTATATTTACGTTTAAATTAATAAATATAATATGAGAGTATTATTGATGAAAATTTCAAATATCTCAGTAATATACAAGTCTTCTCAAAAGAAACAGACTAAGAATACAAACTAGATATTATTATATTATTTTATGATTAGAGACGAATAGTCATAAAACCACGTTTTACTGTTTTACAATCCCCAGGTTTACGAATCTAATAAAATGTAGTGAATGAATTTTTTTATTATCCTGTGAATGTGGTGTCGACAGTTGAGATTTGGGTGGGTTTATTAATCTGTGGTGAAGTGTCGTGCAATGGCCGATTGATGGAGAACAGTTCGTTGGCTATTCATCGCGAAAGCCTAGATCCGTGTACAATTCGGTTGTGTTTCTTCCAATAAAATATCTTCCATGCCTAATAGCAAACGGTAGTGCAAATTTTGTGATTATACTGAAAGCTTTTAGACAGTGAAATTAAACTTTTGTGTAGGTGTTCACATACCATCAAACTGTCGGTGTTTAATTCGTGTGAAACTTGTTTTTGGTAAGTAAAACCCATCGGTGGAGTTCAATTTGTATAGATATTATCGTGTGATGGTTGTAGTGGTTACGAAGATGCAGTCCGTCGTGTAATTGAAGCGTGCCGTGTCAGTGCCAGGTTGTCGTCCGTGCTAGGGAATGTACTAGCATTGTGCCAATTTATTGCGTGTGTCGTTACTGTTTAGTGTTTACTTCCTAATTCATTGGAGCTTTCTGTTTGCTAAGCGCTGAATTGGAAAGTATTCATAATGTATCATTAAAATTGCAATAAAGACAACAATTGCACAAGTTATTATACAGATAAAAGAAACAAAGATATAAAAAAAAATATTACCAAGAGTAACCTGGAATACAGCTGAACAGCAAATCAATAACTGATAAAATGAATAAGCAAGTTAACTTGTTGATCCATCTCTTTATGGATGAGTGAAGTAATGATTTTATTAAATAAAAAATAAAATTTAGATTAGCTCTTATTAGTTATTCTGAAAGCAGTTGAATGAAACAATGAAAGTAATAATTCTAGTATTTAGGTTGAATTGAATTTAACTCTAAAGAAACTTACTAGCATGGGGATATTTGTATACAGAGGGTTATATAGATAATGCAGTGTCAGCTGATATTGTAAAGGATTTATCAAAACAATCCTGGATATCAACTAAAGGTACATTGGGATTGCAACTTTGTCATTTCGTTTGCACCAATGGACCACTAGTGAAATGTATCAACTAGCTACATTGTAACTGTAAACTAATTGGAATGTCCTAATCTAGTTCAAAAATTATTTGCCCGTCACCACACATCATATATCATTATCTTTATATCCTGCACTTTATATACCTACTTAAGTACAAATTAATAATTTCACATAATGTCAACAATATTGCTAAATCTTGTAATAAGTAAGCTGTGTGTGTTCTTAACAATTACATATTTTGACATTCTTACTCTATAAATCTTATTAGAATCTGTTTTTAGTTTTGCTAATTCTAATTGACTTAAAAATACAATTGGGTACTTTCCCTAATCAAAAATAAATTATTTCGACTTTTCAATACAATAAAATATTAAAAAATTATCGTACTTTGATTAATTGCTTTTATGACCAACTAAATTTTAGTATTTATCCAGCAATTTTTTACATAATAAGTATGCTGTTTGATGCTTAAAAAAATGTGACGTCACTATACACAATCCTTACTATCCTTACTAATATTATAAATCTGAAAGTAAGTTTGTTTGTTTGTTCCACCTTCACGCCGTAACTACTCAACAAATTGCTTTGATTTTTTGCAGACGTAAAGTTAGAAGTCCGGATTAAATAATAGGGTACTTTTTAACCCGGAAAAATTGATATTCCTGAGGAAAAACAAAAGTATTGGTATAGATGGCGCTGTGTGTATTGGTATATGTCACATAGGCTACTTTTTTTCTTTTGTGATGCGAGCGAAGCCGCGGGTAAAAGCTAGTCTAATATAAAATTTGTAGAAAACTGTTGTTTTTGACAGTTCGGAAAAAAGTATTGAATTTGACTATAGTTGGCAAGTACTTAATTAAGATATTTAGGTTGTTTAGTATCATAATATCACAGTTATTATTTGAAGTAAGGAGCCTTATTGATGGGCTGTGTCTCCAACGATAACTTTTGGTTTGACATGAGATAATAAAACTGATTGAATTCTATGAATGAATATGAATTCATTTTATTATTCAGTACTGACAATGTGCAATTCTTTTATATACCATGTTTAAAAAAACTAACTTCAACCCCCTCTTTTATTGAGGTTTATCAATATAAAACCTTCTTCTAAATGTAACAAACACTTTTCTGAAAGCCGCAGCAAAATTGATTCAGCCAATCGCGAGATTTTCGCGCACAAACATACATACATATGTATACAGGTCAAGCTGAGAGCCCCCTTTTTAAATTCGGCTAAAATTCATATCATTAATAAATTGTAGCAACTCTGTAGCTACTATTATTATTAATATGTTGGCATGTTTCATAAAAATTCTCTTAATTTACACAATATCGACATTTTATTTGTGTAATAGCTCAGCTGATGTGAAATGATCACCTTGCGAGGCGCGTGCGCCGCCTACCGTGACGTCACGCGCTGATCCCCGCCCCTTACCATTTAATAAGAATACTTAGCCAAATTATTCAAAGATAAGTATAGTATGTAATATTGCAGTTTTGCTGAAGTTTAATTCTAGCCATACTTGCTACATGCATGAATTAAATAGGTAGATGTAGATGTACATCTGTTCATATTTGTCTCGTCGTGTTGCAAACATCAAAGCTTGGTGTGTTTAATATCAGATAAAAATAAATTGAATTATTGAATTACATCCACCACTATTTTATTCTGTGCCACCATGATGGTCCTCATAGCTCACAATGAAATCTGACGTATAAATATGACGTTTTTTAAACGAAATGTTTGAAAAAATGTGCTATTTAAGCTAAAAGAAAATTAATCGGCAGTGATATAATTATAACAGGCCCTTAGAACATCAAAGCGTACAAAAAAACCATTAATTACCTGTTTAAGAATCTTCTGACTGTGTAGGTACGATGTAAACATAGAACGCAAGGTAGGTATGGGGTCTTCCGATAGATTACCTACCAGGTTAGAGCCTTGGTAGGTAATGGCCGGTATCCGCACTTTATGCTAACTACATAATTCCATCAGATAGATCTGTTAAGCACGCTATACTGTTTTAATCGGGAAATTCGATTTAATAGTTACCAAGGTACTTAATATTCAACTGTGTCGCTCAGTTACTGCTTGTAAAAACAAAGTACGTATTTACAAGGCTGTACAAATTAGTTCTCTCGTCTCGTCTTTACACTCTCGATTCGAATTCCTGTCCAACATTGCGCTTAAGCTGCAATTAGCGTCTTTATCTATTTGCTCATGATTTAAACTTTGGGTAATCAGATTGCTTATCGTTATGAAGTTAATCCGTGAAGGTGGTGGTCAATGTCAAGTTAATAAAAATTGCAATGAGTTTTCCATGGTTTCTTAAAGTTGGTATAATTACAACTTTAAAAAAAATGTTGGATAGTTACGTTCTATGAATGCATTGGAAACAAAAGGGAAAAGTATCAAATACAAAGTTAAACGTTAAAATTAAATGTTTACTTCGATAGAAATACCAGACTGGTGCTCGGTAGAAGACATCGAGCGCTCTTCATTTTGTCAAGCATTTTCTAATAACCGGTTTATTGTCGACGCAGTATCGCGGCTTCGGAGTCGGCTACTTCAACGCTAATTTGTTGTAAAACTTCTTGCATAGGTAAATGTTTTATTTTACACTCGGATCATTATTCCGAAATTAATTATTAAAAATTTGTAAACATTATTTCGTAGTTACGGATCTGAAATGGTCCTAGACTGAGTTCAGCAAGAAAATTTGAACATTTGTAAAATCAAGCACATATCTGGAAACCTTTTAATGCTTCAATTTTAACATATTTAAAGTCTTCTAAGCTTCCCCACAAATCCTTATCCCCCTCGACTTGTAATGGTACTTAGGGGAGCTTTGAAACAAGTCGAACTCGATTCAGTGTTCCCACTCGAGTTTCTCGCTGTCGGTTACACGCCACTGGACACAGCGCTCGCCTTCTTTATCCAATACGACACTCGCTGTCTGAGTGGCTAAAATCGCTCTCAAATCAACGGCCATCTCGAAGGTCACCAACGTGTACGGGGAAAACGGTGAACGAAGGTCGCCATGTTTCATCATTCAAGGCTGCTGATGGACCGCCAGCTCTGCGTATCTGTCATACAAATCAATCTAGGAGTTGTGATCCGATTCTGTAATTGCTCATTTTGCAAGTTGTGGAACAAAAGTTAGTGTCCATTACGGTCATTGTGTATGCTATTCAACTCTGTTCAATAAAATAATAGATAAAATTATTCCAATTTGCCGTAGACGACCTTCATAATTCGGAGACAAAAGCGAACAGCGATGAAAAGCCTCATTCGTTACGTTCAAACTGTTAATGCTTCCTTGTCATTTGTTATTGGGATGGAAGTGTAGTCGTGACCATGACGCTTGTTCTATGACTTTCCACATCACATCATTAAATTGAGTATGATCTCCATTGCCATTTTGATTGCTTCCCCGTCTCCAATATTACGTTAACGAGCCGCGATTGTCTGTTTATTGGGTCTCATCAAACGCTGCCACTTACTCGTGCCAGTGTGGCTCCACAGTCCACATGTTTACTTGATAGCATTTGTCTTTACAACGAAATGGCCTTCATTGAGGCTTAAACAAATTAGA